GCTGTCACGCACATGTGAGCACCCGCGTCTGAGGACCTCACTGCTCAGGAATGGCAGATAATTGGCTTTAATTTGTCATTATGGATGTATTTACAGCTCGGACCGGTCACCGTGACCGATCATGTGAGGACAGCTCGTGGAAGATTGGAGGGGTTTAGAATTTCGCCGTGCTTCAGGACGGTAATAGGCAGCTCTAGGCATTGCTGGCCCAAGGGTTTGCTTCTTCCCTCACCCCCCCACATGAGCAAACCCCCCTCCAACATTATATTGAAATTTAATGGTGTTATTTGGCGTCATTTGGGATGCACGTTCTCTCCTATTTCCCCGCTTATTTAAGCGGCGTTTCGCAGCCACACGCAAAAGGCAGATTTACACCTTCCTGCCAGACAGCCCAAAAGCAGCAGGAGCTCGGGACCCATCTGCAGGAGGAACAGCTGAATATTCCCCAGCCTCTGCATAACTACACACGTCCCTCGCACCCAGCGAGCCATCCTGATACAACTCGGCCTTCGGGTTTCGGCAGCGCGGCCGCATTGCCAACATCGGCGTGTCTGCCTCTGCCCCCAGCAGCCCCACGAGCCCCATCTCTGCAACCCATTTTGGTAAGCAAACGATACAAAAGGGCATGCCAGGCTTATAGATGTGGAAAGGAATTTGGGGATAAAATATCCAAAAAAAGAGGTCCGCTTGCAGCTCTTTTCCCAATCCACCCAAAGCTCGGCGGGTGCAAAAATTTCAATCCAGAGCCCTTCGCCAATGAGAAAGCATTGAAAGTTTGGAGTTTTCTACTTTAACAAAGCTCTTAATTCTTGGTGTTGTGTGCGTGTATGCTGAAAATTGCATTTTTTCACATCCCTATTCTCACAGCCCCACCACTGCCGACCTCCAGGCATGGATCTCTGCTCACCTCGCAGTGCTCCTGCTGCTTTTTCACCTGGCTTGGGATTTATTGCTGGTCCGTGCATTGCTGCAAAGGGAAGATTTTTCCAGGCCAATGTTACCAAGCTCTCTAAGTATCGCAACCATTGGGTTTTCCCGTTCAAAAAAGAAAAAAAGAAAGGGATATTTCTCCATTTGAGAGAAGAGAAGAGCACCTCTGCCGGCCGAGCCAAGGCTCCTCCATCATCAGAAGAGCACAGAAGCAATTCGGGTCCAATTCCCTCTGCTAAACACCCCCAGATAAACCCTCCTCTATTTCCAAGGATTTTGTATTTTTCATCACAGAATTGATGAAAATAAACGCGGAGAGAGGGAATGATAGGCTGTGCTCTGAGGAAATAAATCATTGCTTTTGCTACAGGGATAAAGACACACACTGAAATTTGTATTCAGAGAAGAAAAAAATAACGAATCCTGGTTTGATAAAGCATTAGAGTTGGAGCCATTTCCCATTGCCTTCAATTCCGCTGCTTTGCAAATATATATATATATAAATATATATACAAAATCTATAATATATGATCTTATATGTAGCATGTACTGCACCACAGCTGCTCTATGCAACATGCCTGTTTTACTGCGCATCGTTTCCAATGATGGATCTACATCATTAATCTATTGTTGCCACTTTCTTTGCAGTTTTAAATATGTTGTTTGGAGATGCGTAGGGGATAAAGAAATGAATAGCATGCTCAAATCCTGCATCCCTATCCCTTAATTCTTTGGTTTTGCCCCCAAGTCCCAGACTGTGCTCTATGGCCACGGTGACAATTGTGGAGGGCTGTGATTGATCAGTTTGCTTTTAGAGGTGATTTTTTGCAAAGGGGAAAGAAGTTGAGGGAGAAAGCATCCCGGAATGCCTTCCTCAGCCCAAAGCCAAAGTGTTCAGAGCCGTGCCTTTGAGCGAAAACCAAACCCCATCCTTCCCACTGTTGCCCCGAGGCATCTGCGGGTAGGGCAGGGGGTGTTGTGAAGGCAATGAGTCACTGGAAATGCTGGCCTGGGGATGCTACCAGGCAAAGCTCTTCGCATCCCTATGGGAAAGTGTTAAGATCTGGTTCCCAATCTCCCAACAGCTCCGAAAAAACATTTTCCAACTGAGCACAGCGTCTGCTCGGAGCTTTGATCTTTTCAGTGCCTGGTCGGGGACTTGGCAAAAGATGGAATGAAATGCAAAGGGCCAGCAGCTGCCCTTCTCATGGTTCTGATGCCATGATTCAACAATTCTATGATTCTGTGACTCTGTGAGTCAATGATTCTATGATTCTGTGATCCTATGATTCTGCAGTTCTATGTTTCTGTGATTCTACAATTCTACAATTCAGTGATTCTATGATCCTTTGACTCTACAGTTCTACGTTCCTATGATTCTACATCTCTACAATTCAACAATTCAATGATTACACCGTTCCGCTGTTCTACAATTCTTAAATTCTACAATTCTATAATTTGGTGATTCAGTGGTTCTGCAATTCTACAATTCTATGATCCCATGATAAATGCTCCCAAGCATGGCAGCAAAACTCAGCCTCCTCCGGACGCTGGAGCAAAAAGTGAAGAAAAATTTAAAAAAAACAGCGAGAAGAAGAAATGGAGCAGCAAACAAACAAAAATCCCTTCTATTTTGCTTCCATTTTTCTTCTGTTTTGCAGAAGTTTGCACTGGCTGCAGTGAAAGAAATGTAATCAAATTGCAATGAAATTGCAGTGGGATGGGGAAGCAGCATCTGTCCGCCGTCCCCATGCTGCAAATTGCCTCAATCCACACTTGTCTCCGCCTGGCCAGAGGGAAGGGGCAAGCTGCCCTCCTGCATTGGTTTTGGGGTGGATTTCAGGGATTTGGGGGCAGTTGGGTGCAGCAGGAGGGGCTCCTGGAGGGGTACTGCCCATGTCCCATCCCCACACCTGCAGCAAGTTCACGGCCTTGAGCTGCCAGCTCTGATCCTCCCTGCAAAGTAATGAAGTGCTCCCCAAACATACCTCCAGAAGCCCAACTGGGGCATCGTGGACATGCACCATTTTTATTTTTCCCTATATTTATTTATGCTTCCCAGACTGCTGTTTGATACCACAGAGCTGCTATGGCACCCCAAATCCTTCCTATTAGGGAAAAGCAAGAAAGCATTTCTTTTAGTATTGTTTTCTATCACCTTTGAGTACAGTTTCACTGAGCTTTTCCTGCAGCACTGCTTATCAGTGGGAAATAAATGCCGTTCCCAATTGCGTAGACTGCATGTCTGAGTCTGCAATTCCAACTACATCTGCATGCGCTTGATCTTCATTAGTAATAATCATAATTAATATTATGGTATTGACAGACTGCTCTGCAATTAAAGCAGTCCAAGGGTGGCATTTTCCACTAAGCAAGGACCGGAGGAAAATGAAAGTGCTGCAAGGACCGCTTGGTTCAACAGAGCCTTGCGCCAAGGGTTATGTTTCCACCCTGAGATTGTGCGGAGAAAGAAATATCCTAAAGAAAGGCCAAGGAAGGAGCTTGGACCCCAAGCTGCCCACCAAGAAGCTGCCTTCCACGCCACCCCTATTTCTATCTGCACCCTGAATTTTGGGCAGCTTCATCCCATCGGCGCGGTGCAATGTGAGAGCTCGGCACAAAGCACGGGGAGGCCGCAGCCGAGGGGCAACAGCACAGAGCTCTGCTCAGCACAGGGCTTGGAACCCCCAAATCACCTGAAAGTTGCCCAGTGTTTCTGCAACTGCAAGTCTTCATGTTGACCACTTCATTTTCGTAAGTGTTCTTTATGGCTAAGAAGTCATTTGTGACCGCTGCATAAAGGCGGTATATTTTTTTCTCATGGGAAGAGATGCCACGGTAGTCAAATACAAATGCATAAATGATCCAATTCAATAGCTCATGGGTTTTTTGCACATCCACCATTGCACAGCTTCCCAAAATCCCTTCCTCAATGGCCTTCATCCCTTCTCTGCTCCCCATTTTAAGCAATCTCTTAGTGCTCGAAGAAATGCAAAAGGCATTGGCAAGGCCAAGCCTTTGCCGACACCCGACTTTCACTTTGATAACACCTAAAAATAATACAAAAGACTGAGAAAATCTCATGGGACGAGATCTCTAAAATGCAGGTTAAAAAGTGCAATCCTGAAATTTATCAGCCAATGAATGCGAGCTGTTCGCCTTTCGTTTTGTTAACTCCAAAGCTAACAGCAATAGCTCCACAACGAGACCGTGGGCAACAGAAGGAGATTTATAAGGGCAGTCCTTCGGCCCCACTCTTTTCTCCATTCCTCCTTTTACTCTATCCAAAATACAACAGCAGTATGTTAAGCCTTGTGGGGCGATTTCTTTGGTTTTAGGACAGGGCTGCTTATGGAAATTCGGGTGTCGACCGCAGACAGGGATCGGCTCAAGGGATCCCGGATGGGTTTTTGGCAATGGGGACTCTGAAATTCAATTCTGGGCCACCTGGGAGATCCCTAAAAAGCAAAACCGGGTGCCAGTGGCTGAAAGAACAAAAGTGGATATGTTTCTTCATCTCTATCACCTTTTCTCAGCCAAGTTTTCCCCAAAACTACGAAGAGGACACAGCACAAAACAGTCCAAGGGTGAGAGCTGAGATTCACATACTGAACTTCTCTTATGCATTCAGTCCCTAAATTTCCCCCTTCTGCACCAAAACCAAGCCCGGGAAGGGGCTGCCTGTGTGCTCCTGCAGACTGCAATGGGATGGCCCCAAAATGTTCACAGAGCTATTTGCAGAGCAAACCCTTCCACGGGAGCTCGGCACGTGATTTCTGGCTGCTCCAGGCCTACCTCCATTTAACTTTCACATTTTTTTCTTTTGGAATCGCATCCCTTGAGGACTTTTTGCAACCCCCCAATGGGTTGGGTTGCGTCCATCACAGCACAACCCATGGGGAAGCCCAAAATTTTGCATCTCCGGCGGAGATGCATTCAAAACCCTCCAGAGAGAAGGATGCGCGGATAAAGATCTGGGAGCACACGGAGTTGAAACCCTCCCTTCTCCCTTCTCCCTTTTCCTTTCTCCCTTCTCCCACCCCATCCCTGCCTCGGGGTGGTTTGCTCACCGATGTTGGCGTGCCGGGCGGCCGCGGGCGTCCCTCTGCTCTGCAGGTTGTGCAGCATGGGGCTGTCGAAGGGCGAAGAAGTCCAAGTGGTGGCCATTTCGGGGCTCACATACGCTGGATAAGGGCTGGAGTAGGAGCTGCCGAAGCCCCGGCTGTATTGCTCCCTCCCGTTAGCAGAAAGGCTCAAGGAGCTGCTGTAAGCCGCCGCGGCATCCCGCGATGAGGTGGAGGGGATGGGAGTGCTGGTGGAGAAGGAGAAGCGAGGTGACACGGGCGGGTGGGAAGATCCGGGGTTGTATGCGGCGCTTTCAGCTCCAGGTTGAGTCCAGATGGAGTGGCTGGAGACGGGGCTGGCTTGCTGGGAAGAGCCGCTGCTGGGCAGGTAGGGCAGGCTGGGCAGCATGGAGGGGACCCTGGTGGTGGGCACGTAGACGGGGGACGCGGCGGCAGCGCCGTGCATGAAGCCACCTGCCCCTTCGTAGGACGGGGGGCCAGGGTTCGCCGCCATGGCTAAGCTCTGGTACATCTCGCAGCGGGGCCCCCCAAACCCCAGATGGGTCTCCAAGTGCAATCCAGAGCAATGGGGAGCAGGCGAACAACCCCGATTCCCTTCTCCAGCGCTGGAGGCGGATGGAGCGGTGTTGCGTGGGTCCAACCTCGCAGCCCTGACCGAATTGTGGCCGGTGATGGGATTTTGTCCTTCGCCCACCCCTCCCCACCACCCACCTTCCCCACCTTCAGTCGGTCCCCAGCCAGCAGTCCCGGTCCCTTTAGCTCCTGCTTGGCCTTAGCTTCTCCCACCGGGATCCATCCATCGGCTCCCCCCCCTCAACAGTGGGGCCGGGCTGCTTAAAACCCTCGGACAGTCTCCTCCCCGTCCAACCCCCCCCACCCCCCCCCGGCCCGTCCTACACCAGCACCGGGCGATGGGAAGGGGATGCAGGAACCCACCTCGGGGCGAGGTGGGGGGGTTAAGGAGGTTAGAGCAGGGCCTAGGGCTGGGGGGGGAGGTGAGATGGAGAAGTCAGGGAAGGGGGGAGCAGCCGGGAAAGGTGAGAGACAGAGAAGCCCTGAAGCAAAACCTTTGTCCCGCAGGTAGGGCCGGTGCTTTAAGCTGCTAATGGCCACCCCCCCCGGGGCTGGTGTTTGATGTGGGGAGGCTGAGAACTGCAGGGAGGGGTCTGGGGGGGAGCGGGTGGAAATTAAATTAAGCTTTTGCTTGGCCTCCAGCTGCCCTGCCCCACGTGTATCCGTGTCACCCCACAGCCACAAGTGGAGGCTGAACAGTGCCTCTGCTTCAGTGGGGAGCAGCCCCCTGCCCAATTCCCCCTCCCACAGGGTTGTAATGCTCTTTTCACACGTGGGGGACCCACTGGGGACGCGCGGTTGGGCTGTAGGATGGAGCAGGCACTGCGTTCTGATCCTTTGGTTTTGGGGGCAGAAAACTCAGTTTCGGGGCTCACCACTCATTTCTTGCAAAGGCAAAACTCCACCAAACGCCGCTGGAAGGGGAGCAAAGCAAAATGAGCTGCTGTTTTCTGTGCAGTGGATGGATCCTAGAAAACACAGGGCCGTCTGGAGTGGAGAATTATGGCCAGAGAACCAACTCCTGGGACTGATTTGGGTTGAACCAGCAGATCCCCCAGGTTGAACCCCTCTGCCGGGCTGAATTTAGCAGCAGGAGAGATAACCAGGAGATAAGGGCTGATACCCGGCAGGACAGCAGGAGAGCGACCGAGGGAAGGGGGAGAAGCTGGAGGCCGAGTCCTGCAGTGCTTCAGGAGCGGGTAAGGATGGCAGCAGGCTGGGGAAAAAAGGGGGTTTTAGGGGGGCTCTATTTCATCCCAAAGTGCAGAGGGTGGATGGGATGGTGTGTCACCAGCTTGGCATGAGCCCGGTTCCCATCAGGGTCTCCAAAGAGGAGCAGGATCCCACAGAGGGGTGGGAAAAGGGGTGAATTCCTGTCCTGTCAGCAATAATAATAATAATAATAATAATAATAATAATAATAATAATAGGACCCAAACCAAAATTGAGTCCGAAGAAACAATAGGAGGAAGTTATTGGGGGAGGCCAAGAGGAAGGGGCTCAACGAGGCTGCAGCGAGCGGGAGGAGAGGGAATGGGGAATGAGACCCACCTTAGTGCTGGGGGCAGGAGGTGGTGGGGGTCCGGGGGGGTCCCTTCGCTGTGTGGGCACCCCCTGTTGCGTGGGGCAACCCCTCGTTCTCGGGGAGGCAGAGGGCAAAGGGATGCCGGGCTCCCGCTGCGCCGATGGGGTGCAGAGGGGTAATGGGGTTTTGTCCGCGTTCCCCCTACCCCAAAAAACCCAAACTTTTCCCCTCTCCCCAATGTGGCCCAGCTCCCCAGTCCCACTCGCTGAGTGGTTTGCCCACATCACGTGGAAGTGGGCGGCGATGAGAGGAAAGAGGTGGTGGTGTTGGAAGGGTGTGTGTGTGTGTATGTGTGTGTGTGTATGTGGAGGGG